TTTCTAGCTCTCTGATTTGTGTGTTTAAAAAAAAAACCCTGGCTCTGTAAATGGAAAACAAAAAAGTTAGTTAGTGCTTAGTGGGAGAGAGAGATCTATACATCGGCACATTCAAACATGCTGGACTCCAGGCACTGTGGTGAGGGAGAGATGACCGAGAAACAGCCAAAGAGGAAAAGGTCTGAAGAGTTTAAACAAAGAAATTCCATGACAAGGCAAGGGCAAAGGTGTTTCAACGCTGGACAAACATCACAGATTTGAAATGTAACACTGAAGGGAGGGGTGTATTTGTTTGGCAGTTGAGTTAAAATATCAACAATCCTTCTGCAGAATCACTTACTCTTAATTAAAGTAAATGTATCATAATAAACTGATTCTTTATGTGAGTCCTCACGCTCTGCGAGATTTATTGGAGAAGAATAAAAGAAGAAATCAAACTGTTTCATTAGATTGTTGAAGACAGAGAAGGATGTGTATGTCACTTTCTATTTTCCCTGACTCCTTCAGACTACACCTGTAGTTGTGAGCTTCATTTATGTCTAGGTATTTTTGTCTGCCAAATGGTTGGTCACTGGGTTAGTATATTTTTAAAGCTTAGTTTCTATGGCCTCTCTAAAAAAAAATTACAATATAATGTTTTTTTGTGTCATCTCTGGCTCAAGGACTCTGGGTGTCTCTGACATCATCACAGATGGGTGACATCAGCAAGATGAAAAGCTCAGTACTCAACATAAAGCCATTAAAACATCTTGCTCTTTGCACTCTGTGGCAGCAGATCAGCCAGTCTCAGGGGCTTTTATTGATACGATATGGTGCAGATTATTTTCTGTCCTCACGTCTCTTTCATACATAAGGTGTCACTGTTGACGTGTTAAAAACACACTTCACGAAAGGCATGAAGCTGGATTGCATTTGCATGATATTGGGAGTGAGTCAGACCCTTAATGTATTCATCTAGGACTGACATTCAAAGTCGGGACTGATCATCAGCCAGTCTGCGGGAGGAGAAGTGGCAGCCAGCTCCTGCTAACTAGCTAGCCGTGTCTCTTTTATCTCTGGGTGGATCCGCCCTGTGATGCTGAATACAGACAGATGGATAGCAACAAATTCAGGGGCAGAGAATCATTATGATCTTATGACACAGCACTTGTATTTGTTGCATCACTGTCACTTCCAATTTGGCTACAACCCTGTGGAAAGATGGCAAACAAATAAACACAGATACTAGAAAATCATGCCCAGGCACGCAAGCATAATGTGTAAACATCCTGTCACCCAATCATAAAAACACACACACACCTCAAACAATGCTGCAGTCATCATCAACGCCTTTTCTCATGGCTCCACATGGAAAATACCAACGCAGCAGATTTTAAAAGCACAATAAGATCTTGGGAAAAAACAGAAGCAGGATGTTGGAAAGAAACAGAATCCCTGGGCAGTACACTTTGTTCATGCGGGGCCACTATCTGCTCCCCTCTCCATGGGTGACTGTCTTATTGTCCCTGTGTCACTGAGCCAGAGAACCACAACACCTGTTTGTGCTGAATCTGCACTCACGCTCACAGGTCTGTGACTCAGACACAAACACAGTGTCAACAGGTGCAAACCTGCACTGAACTGTGCGGTCTCATCAGATTACTGGCTATACTCAAATCAGCTTATATTGTAGCACCAATTTTTACATTATATTTTTGGTCTTATGAAAACCTTTCAAAATAAGATGATGCCAGATATGCACTGACACCAAGCTAAAAGCCTCAAAAGCTGGAGATACAAGCTTTCCAGTAGACAGCTACAAATTGTGCCTTGATCCACTGAAGCTGAAAATCACAGCAAATATTTTGCGTAACTTCCTGACAAAAAAAACAAACAAACAAACAAGGAGTAATAAGCAAACAGCATTTCATCTCCCCATTGTCCCTTTCTTCTATTAAAAAAAGATGTTCTGAGTTGCAGACAAACTGGATCATCTAGACAAAGATAGTGGCCTTTACTTTCTTCTTTCCCCTCATCAATGCAGCCAGATCTCCATTAGTTAAACAAAGTGGGGCGAAGAGAGGACGCAAGGCGGAGTGAGAAAAAGAAAGGATGGTTATTAGAGGGAGAAAGCGAGGAGAATGACACAGCACTTTGCTGGACAGTGGGGCACAGTTAACACACAGAGGTAGTTAAACGGTTGTCCTCAATAAATCTGTTGTGCTCTCCAACAACAGAGTTCAATCATGAGATGCATGGGATATTAGCAGCTGGTCACAGGACAGCAGCAACCTGTACACTAAATAAACAGTTATGTCGGATTAAACTAATCTAGTTTGTTTTTTTCCTGCTGCTGCTTTTTCTCCTGTGCTCTATTATTGCTTGTATTACAGTCAAATTTACCTTATATGAAAGATAATAAGCAGATATTATAGAAGGCATGCCCTGTCCTACAAATTTAACCCACATGCATGATTAAAAAAACAACGAATACAAACAAAACATGTTGAAGACAATAAAATGTTCCCTCTCTATTTGTGGAGCAAGGTGTCAAAACAAGATCCTTGTCTGCTCTGGTTGTCTGTCCACAGGGATTAACAGACTAGATCGTTTTATACCTGAAGGTCACCCTAAAGAGAAACATCAAATTCTTATCACTGCACATCAATAAGATGCTGTGGAGATTAGATCGTTTCTAGATATTGACAGAGATCCCGGCCTGTCAGAAGAAACCATCCTTTATCAACTTACTTCCCTCTGTAATGCCAGGCCTCTCTCCTCAACTCTGAATTGCACCCACTGCTTAAGAAATGAAATGCAACAGATGAAAGCACAGGCTGGAGAGAAAATTAACTTGAAAAAGTCGATGATGTCATGGGTGGAGTATCCTAGCCCCTCGCTTTCTGCTGCCACCTTAATAAACTCCCTCACTGATATATCTTAAGCAGCGTTAGATCGTCTTTAATTCTGCCTCGACGCTGAAGATGCACATATGGAGTTGCCAATATTGCGGAAGCAAAGCTATCGATGCAGTAAATCTATAGCATCCATCCCCACCACCACCGCCGCACTGGGAGGGGGGAGCGCATCCCACCGAGAGCATCTATTTACATCCACTCACCGCTTTGGTCAGCCTCCGGGCTTCTACGCCTCAGCTCCCGCGACGACACACTCACACACTAGTGAACAGGGCCGAGGTCGACAGCCGCTTATAAGTGCCAGTCCGCCCGTATAGCTGCAGCCGGCCGCCCGTATTGGATCACATCACATCATCCGCCCTCCCAGCCCGGGTCGGTGCTCGCTGGCGGCCAAGCTTGCGCTTTCTCTCTGCGCCAGAGGATCCCGGAGCTGCGCGGCGCTGTGGAGCTCCCACAGGCAGCCGGCCAATCAGAGCCGCGGACGCAGGACGCACGGCGCATGGAGGAGACGCAATCACAATAAATCTACCGGTGTTATTTTGCAAATCAGGTAATGAAATCACACTTCATCAGTCTTACGTCATGCAGTAGAAATATGAATGGTTTAGTACAATAGCGGCCTGGTGAAACGGTTTAGTTCTCTTTGGGTACATATTGTATGAAGACTGACTGAAAGTGGTCCTAAAACTAATGTTACCATCTGTGAAGTTTTCCATACAGAGAGAATATATACTCCAGACTATACTTTAGTGGCCTAGTGCTTAATTAAAATTAAAATGATTGTACAGATTACAATACTCTCTGCTCCTTCAATTAAAGGTACTTAAAAAATAACCAGACAGCCATAAAATAGCCTTTTATGATATTTTATTATTATTTAGTGTGTGCGTATAACAGTAGAACCTCCTCCTCATTGTGCATGAATATTCACTTTGGCATATGTATATAACAGGTTGGACTATCACACAACATGTAGTAATTTCCCTTTGTTCTTTTATAGAGGACAGACAGCACTTAACCATTTCACATATTCAGAAACTGAATTATCAAAGGTTAAAATGTGACACTAATGTAAAGTACTTTGTCATTTTCAGAGGTGTAAACTCAGCAATACAGTTACAGGGGGCAAAATGATTATAAACCTCTTTTTCATGTAGTTGATCTCACATTAGTAGGGAAGGATCTGAGATTCCCAACCACCCCCAAAGGCACCTGAATCATGTTTTCTTACTCACAGGAGAACTTATGACAAAAAACACTGTACAATATAAAAAGAAATAATAGAAATGCTTGTATATCTCATTCCACACATACTTTTGTAAGACCTGGTCTACAACAACTCATTCAGACTTATAAAAAAACCTTGAACATAATAACACACCTACACTCTAATCCAGATTTCTTGACTGGTGAAAATACATTCTGTGCTGGCTAACTATCCTATCCCGACAGTCCACTGGCACATTCCTCCCTCAGTGCTGTGGGGATGGAGGTGAAGAGGCGCGGAGGACAGCGCTGTAGGGACACACAGGCTCCCGGTGCTCCAGGAGTGAGGCAGGAAGGGAAGGTTGATGGGGTGACTGTTGAAGTGAGGGACATGACTGGACAGGGAGAAGAGAGGCTGCTGGAGCCGACCATCGGCTACGGGGAAGCATGGAGCTGAACGGATGGAGCGCAACACTGCATTTTCTGCTTAAGAGGAGAGGCAGAAAAGAACTCCATTCCTCAGAGATATTATCACTGTTGTGTTGGCTCATTAAAAGCTTGCCACAGTGCCATCACTGAATGACTAACACAAATGTGAATCTTTCCAACAAAGCATGTGTGCTTACCCTTACAGTCTGTGTCATTAGGAGGCATCAGTAAGCTCTTAGCCTGACTGTTGCCAGCTCGAGCGGCTCGTTTGTAGTATTCAATCGCTGTCCTCAGATTCTGCTGCACCCCAAAGCCGCTCTCAAAACACTGACCGAGGTACAGCAGAGCGGTGTCGTCCTGCACACATGAATGAAAATAAACATGTTTTAGCTATTTAATCCTACAGAACAATCTTTTTTTTTTTATGTATGAGAACATGACCTGCAATTTGCTCAGACTGACAGGCAAAATTAGACATTATAAACAGACACCAGGAATTTAAATTGACAAAATAGCATGGACAGAGGACTGAAATGCCACTATTAAAACGTTCACAATACTTGTGTGACTCAACACTTGGACATTAAGCAAGGCTGTGACCCTAAAGTGCTTTGTAGCGGTAGTATTGATGATAGTATTACTTCAAGACAACCGCAGCAGAAAGTTGCAAAAACGTGAGTACAGTTGTTTCACAAATAAGCTGTGAAAATAAATAAGCAGCAGATGGTGGGGACACACTGTTTCCTCATGCAGACTGACTGAGATGGTACACCAGGAGGGGAGGTGAAACCACAGCCATAAAGCAGTAGATAAAACTCCAGAAGCATCTAGAAGGGAACTCACTCCGCTCGCTGCTGCCATCTTCAGGTACTGGACAGACTTGCTCCCGTCTCTCACCTGTTCCTGGGAGTAGACCGAGGCCAGGCAGACCTGAGCCTGAAGAGGGAGAGACACGTACAGTTGGTTCACTTCTGTAAGGATACACCAGCATCAAGTGATAACAAGGGATTCCTCACATGCACCCACAGTAACCCAGCATGGCAAATCCATATGAAATGATTATTATATTGTTAATATTTCATTTTATGCTCTGACTCCCTCCAACTGTCCAAAAACATGCAGGTTAATTGGTGACTCTAAATTGCCCTTGGGTGTGAATGTAAGTGTGAGTGGTTGTTTGATTTTATGTGTTCTCTGATGGACAGGCGACCTGTCCAGGGTGTACTCCATCTCTAGCCCATTGTCAGCTGGGATTGGCTTCCCCCCGCAAACCTGTACGGATAAGCGGGTATAGATTTACTTTTACTTGTGACCATTTGTGCAAGCATGCCCCATTATCATATCCAAAGGTATTGGGTTCATTCACTCCCATTAAATGACAGAGAGCAATAGAGAAACAATTACTTGATTAGTCAAATAGTTGACAGACAGAAATATAATGTAATATACTTTGATAGTCAAGTGTTCAGTCGTTTTTGTGAATAAAAATGCTGAACACTCTCTTGCTCCAGCTGGTTTCGACTAAATATTACATTTGAAGTTATCACCTTGGGCTGTTTTTCATTTTCCAGCATTGTGTGAAAATTTAGAGACCAACTGATTAAACAAAAGGTAATCTGTCCCAGTAAAAATAATAGTGTAAAAATACAGCAAAGTGTCCCAGTAATCTACGACAGTGTGACAGAAAGCCAGCATGCACAATACCAGGACCCTAAAACACTGAAGAACCAACTGGAATTCAGCAAACATTTATTGCAGTATTTATATCTGTGCTTTTCATACTGTGACATGTCAAATTGTCTTCTATGCAAAAGGTCTGTATATAAATGAAGTACAGTATAGTATCTCATTGCACAATAAGAGCAAAGTGGTAAGGCACTGCTGGGAAATTATTTTTTCAGGTATTGTTAAACAGTACTTCAACTAGAGTTACAAAGGTTTCTATGTAAGAATTAAAAAGCGTTAAGATCATGATTTCACACCTTGGTGAGTCCAGCTGCAGCAGCCTGTTCCAGAAAGCTGATGGCCACATTCAGCTCCTCTAAACTCTGGTGCCCTCTGCTGGTCAGAAGCAGCTTTGCATACCGGTACTGAGCCTGTCTGTGACCCCCAACGGCTGCCTGCTGGTAGTAATACAGAGCCTTGACGAGAAAACAAATGAGATTTATCTCAAGACTTATTTCCGACATAGAAGAAGAGTAAGTATGAACATTTTTCAGAATGATGAAACATTCAGCAAACAAACGACTGCTGTCTGGTTTCTCACCTTGTCGTTGTCCTTGCGGACTCCTCTGCCTTTCTCGTAGCACACCCCCGTGTTAAACTGGGCCTTGCTGTAACCCTGCTGAGCTGCAGCTAAAAAACATGTAAAGGCTTCTTCGTAGTTCTCAGTCTTGGCACTTTCTAGACCTGCAATAAACAGGGAGATGAAGATGTTAGCTGGGGCAGAGGAAAACAATTGTGGTTAATTTAAAAAAAAAAAAAAAAAAAAGAGAACATGTGACATTTGGTTTGTGTAAAAAGTGACTGTCTAGAGTAGGAATGAATTACCATTATTTGGTGTGTAACTGTGTCAATAAATTATTACCAATGATATTGAGGACAACAGGAATGCTGGTGTCTCCCACATGTCTGAGGTCCAGTGCTGCTCCTGCCAGCTTCTCCTCATCAGACATGTCCTGACAAACAAAAAGAGGGGGGGGGGGGGGGGGGGGGGGGACGACACACAACAATTTAGTCAGTCTTTTGCAGGGATGACGTAAAGGTGCTGCTTTTTTTTTTTTTTTTTTGAAAAATGGCACACTGGAGGAGATAGACTTTCACCTTGTCATTAGCATCTTTAGTCTCTGTGTTGTGTTGGTTGGCATCATTCTGCAGAGGACAGGATGCTGACAGAAAGGATTCCTCTGTCAGTCAGGCAAGAAAAATGTATTATTATCCTGCTCCCACAAATACCAGGTTAACAAACTTTTGAGAAAATACTGTTTTTAATTATTCTTTCAACTACGACCAGCACAAAACAGAGATCACACCGTGTAAAGAAGAATCCTGGTTCAGAAGTGCCCCCTGTTGGTGAGAGATGGAGCAGCCAGCAGTCAGATGGTCCTCCTCACTGCTGCAGTGAACACTGCTGTCACCTGTCCTGTTGCTGCTACTACTACTGCTGCTGCTGCTGCTGCTGCTGCTCTGAGCTGGGGACTGATCTTGGTTCTGCCTTTCTGGCACCCCTGGCAAACACAACACACTCGTTCCTCTGGGCAGGACATCACGTTTAGACACTGGAGAAACCAGACAGACACAACAAAACAAAGTTTCTGAATAAAATATTAAACAGGGAAAAGAGTTTGGGGTTTAGAAGGTGAAATGTCAGTGGGCCTATTTCCTATTTACAATAATGCAATAAGGACTCACAGATCTCCAGCAGGATGCGGTAGCCACACTTGTGCAGGGTGGAGGGTGCAGTCTGGGCTCCAGGGATTGGACTCGGCTCAGTGCCTGAAGAGAACTGCGAGTGGATCCTCCTGCAGATCTGCATGAACAGAACTGCTGCTGCGCCCTGTGGAGAAACATTAGCTCCACTGTCATTGCTGTCACGAGAACATGAGATGTGCACAGCTACTCCAGGTACCATCATAATGTATACCAGGAACAGCCAAACATGTGCCAAGGGGAGCCAACAGTCCAAACAAGACTCAATACGCTGATAGGCCCTCTTTGAATTCGAGGGAAGGAACTTATCAGTTTGTGCGTTTACATGCACACAAAAAGCAGGCTATGCAGAGAAATCAGGTAAAGAAGGAACTTGAACAACACATTTATATGCTACTGCAGTAACCTGGTTGCAGCAACATGACATTGGTTGGGATGAAAACCTGTTTGCTCCTTGATACATTGTTGGCCACCTATTCTGTATACTAAAAAAGCAGTTAGCAAGTGAGACCACCAAGTGGTGCTAAAGGAATGAAACTGCTAGTTGCAAATGGAGAAATGCCATCTCATATTTCAGCAAAAGGTCAAATATGCCACAATGCCTAATTCATATTTGTTCAATTGCTGCATTTACTTTTACTTGCTACCGTGAACTTTGACTAGCTTCTCCTCTGAATAAAGAAAAAATACTTAGATTTGAGTGTAAAACGTATGTTTGTGTTAAATTCACAGAGCTTGGAGTATTAAATAGACAAGTGGGGAGATGAGTACAGTAGCACAGCCTTGTGTGATTGCAGTTTTGGAGGTAGAATAGTGTTGAGAGGTTGTTTTAGTGGCTGTTTGTCATGAGGGTTGAAGATGCGATCAAGATTTGCTCTAAATCCATTTTTAATACTAATAACAGCTGCCATATTTTACATGGAAGCCAGGCCATCATGCACTAGTTTTCCAGTTTAAAAATCCTTCGTGACCAGCCTCCTAACATCTTTCTTACAAATTTTGACGAACGGATGACTGAAAAAGATGTCCTGGACATGATAGTAGATAATGTAGGTGTTTTACATTTGAACATGTAACAATAAAAGGCATACCCATCCCACAGCATCCAGGGCTGTGTAACGTGGAAGCTCAGCGTAGCCAAACTGAAAGGTCCCCTGTTTCTTCCTCCTCTCGCCATCGTCCTCTTTCTGAGAGGTGACTGAAAAACTGCACAAAGAAAATATAACAATTATATGTCTGTTTCTATTTCCAGTCTTTTGTATTGAGGAATCATAGAAATACTCCGTTTAAGGCAGATGGCTTTGTTTCTGCTCCCTCAACTAACCCTGTTTGCGATTACAGCAGATGATGCAACCAGCTGAAAGAGAGGCAGTGAGCGTGTTATGAGCAGAGAACGGGTTCAAAGAAGGGGTAAAGGAACAAGAAAGGATTGGGATGAGGGTCACTCAATACTTTTCTATTTCTTTCTTCTTTCTTTTTAGGCTTTTATCATCAGAGAGCGAAAAAGAAAGGACGGAGGTGTGGAAAGTACCCGCTGCCAGAGGAGTGGCGAGAAGTGGAGAGGGCAGTTGAACTGTTGATGACCTCGTCCTCCACATAATGGTTCTGGGGCAGTCGCAGGGGGGCGCTGCCGTGGCATCGATGCAGAACTGAGAAGTGGTGGGAAGACAAAACCAGCCGATATTAGACATTAATGTCCAATGTTTTGAATTTCAGGGAGCCTCCTCTTCTACTACTTGACAAGTCAAAACATGTTCCGTAATTTCCTAATAAATCCCTAGGAAATGTCCTGGAAAGAACAATGTACAATAAAAGACTAAGTATGGAGAAAGAAGGGACTGATATCTGAGACAGATATTTCAGTTTAGTAACTTTCTTAGTTTACAAGCAGTCATAGCAATACTCCATTTAAAACACAAATAAATATGAATTCATTATTAGAAATTTTATTCTCCATTTATGCTAAATTGTTTGTTTGACTGTGGACATATTTCACATGTTTGCATGTGCAGTTATATCTGCAGCAGCACTTCTGCAGTTTTATGCCTGTAGAGAAGATGTTGTTGTTTTGTGTAAAAAAAACAAATAGTGTGATCTGCTTGTTTAACTTGTGTACAGACTTGAATAAAAATACGTGTCATTAGGAAGTGTCAGCGTATTGTGCAGACAAAGATGTAGTTTTGCAGAACAATAATAGAGATTTCCCAAAATACCTGCATACAGAGATTATGTAAATCTGTCGTAATTAATAGGTAAATTAAAGGCATGCCAACTAAAACGTAACAGAATACATAAATCCGGACATTGTTAACGTTATAAGAATAAGGGTTAAGATAAAGGAAGAAATTAAATTCAGAGAAGGGCAACAGGGTTTATTTCTTAATAAAAGCGGCACTTTATAATAATATAAAGTAATATAATTAATCTGCGTAAAGAAGCCTGGCACTGCGTCAAAGGCGGGGTTTCTCTAGTATCAATGACATTTCTCTCACCTCTTCCAACAAATCCTTGAACTCGCCACATGGTTCGTCTTGTACAGCAGCTTTATTATCTCCGAACAGCCATGTTTAGATACGTCTGGGGGTCGTCTGACCCCCCAAAGAACGACAGCAGCCGGTTCTTCTTTAAGTCGGTTCACGCAACGTAGTTCAGCTTCTGGTAAATAAAACCCATCCCGAGTTGTGTTCAGGAGACCAACCCGGAAGTGTTTGGGGGTGATTGCTCTGGTGACGCAACTTCTTCTTCTTCTTTAGTGTTTCTTGGCGGCTGGCAAGCCAGCTTAGAGCAATACCGCCTCCAGTTGGACTGGAGTGTGAAAAAGAGAATTTATGCTAGAATAAACAAACAACCAAACCAAAAAACTAAAATCTTTTAGCTAAATCAGTTTCTTTGTAATAATGTCAAATCTTGCTTGCTGTTTTCCCCAGGAGACCTGGCATTGAAAAGTCATGATGTTTTGCCTCCTTAGTGACTGAAAAAGGTGATTTCTCTTGATTTAGTATTTCCTACAGTGAAGTAGTAGCTACATGTTCGACTGTTTCTGGTTGGCTGAAGTTGGGTGTGTGCCTCTTTTATAAAAATATGGCTGAGACCTGTATGTCCTGTATTCTCAGAGGAGTGATTATATTTCCCTCCCTTCATTTCCAGCCCACTATCCTCCCTGCACCAATATTGTATATTTAATAGATGTCTTTCAGTTTCATTACTATCCCAATGTTCCTGCCATATTGATTGTGCATGTACTAATGAATGTCTTTACTTCATTTTTGCTTAATGGAGATTGGTGGTCTGCATGCTTAATGAGTGTTTGTTTGGCCGAACTGAGCAGGTGAATGCCTGTGACATTTATCTATGATAGATAAAAGCTTCATAATTTATGTGGGTAAAGCAATTTTCAACTTTACCAATGTCTTTTTTTTCAAGTTGCAACTATACAAAGGCAGGGGTGAAATCATACGCAGACACAATAGACTTCAAAAACATCCCGGATTAAGCACTCGGCAGGTGGTCCATGTTCCGAGCTGTCAGCACAAGACTCTGGGAAGATGGAAGTGGACTCTTTACTGTCTATTGATGATGCTTGGTGCTCAAAGATGGACACTGTTTCCCAAATGTCAGATTGTTCATTGTGAAGATCAAACTTTCATATTATCATCTGGTGGTTGCTGTTTATATTCACTCCAGAAGCAAATTCAGAAAATGCACTGTGGAATGTTTGGGCTGTATATGTATATAAATAGCTATATATATTGTTTTAGTTGATTTTTTATGTTACCATATTTTAATATAGGCCTACACTTATAATAACAATATATGTTGTGTGTGTAGCATGAAGGAGCTAGAAATTTTGTTTCGTTATGTAGCCTTGTGCTGTATTAGACTAATAAACCTTGTACCTTCCACTTGTTATTTACAGTTGAGTTTGTGGTTTATTGCATTAGCATGCAGTTGTACAAAGATATGAAAAAGCAGTAGGTGTTCAATTCTATTGTTGCAAGTTGTAGCATGTTTGTCTGTTCTGGTGTGGTAAGAACTTTGTACGGCCCCCCTACCTGCCTACCTGTGCCTACCATTTCCTGTCACCTATGCCCCTACATACAAACTCTGTGTATCAAAAGACTGCCACCAAGTGTCTATACTACTATACCACTGTAAATACTACTGCAAAATATATCTAAACAAAATAACATTACATGCCAAAAATAAAAATAAATGGCTCCTGCAATGTGTACTATATATAATAGGCTACATATCCTTGAATGGAATCAGACATACAATGCGTTAACTGACATGAATTGGTGCATATATGTAGATTTTGTTATGTTTGTTTGTATTTGTATATAATGTTTATATTCAAACAGTTCCATTGTTGGACATCTCCTGGGACTTTCTATATAGGCAAATGTGTATGCGGTAAGTGTATTGTGTATTAAATGCTGTGTGCACACATATTGGATTTTGTGGTTTATTAATGATTAATGTGTCTAAATGATTCCATAAGGATGGGTCAATCATTCATGTAGCAGACAGTGGGAATGCTGTAGGCTGATTCAAGTTCTTAGACTAGATATTTGTTTAAAATTTTGACTACTTTTACGCCATCCAAAATTAATAAATAAATATATTTTCCCCTCAAACATTTAGTTCCGGAGGTGTGGGGAAGGATTTGACCATGACCTTGGCTTGGAACATGTTAGGTCTAAATGTCTGCTTGTGAAACTTTTTTGATGTTCTTTGTGCAAAGAGGATGATAACTGGGTGACAAATGTGAAGAGTGCTCTTAATAATGTAAACAAATGTGAATTTATCTCTCTTTGTGCATTAATCTTAAAGACATATGAAATTGTAGCACAGATGTTTCTAATGACATCAACAATGGCTCAGTTCTATTCAAGTGTCCTGAGTCACGGCAGTGTGACAGTGAGCCAACATGCACAATACCAGGACCTTGAAACTGAAGCAATAAACTGAATTGATTTTATTATTTACACCTGTTATTTTTCTACTGTGATATGTCAAGATATTTTCCAAAAGGCCTACGACTCAGAGGTTTAGTCAAACATTACATTCCTTGATTCCCAAAATCAATAATTTGTAGAGATTCAGCTCACAGAGGGAAGCAATATTTTATTTTCAAATCAAGTTTCTGCATAGACATGAATAACACATAGAGACCATCAGACTTCTTGCACTCTCTCTCTCATACACAATTTCTCTGAGGGCACATGAAGTTTTTTTACATCCAGTTAAGGTTTCTCAGGATTAGAGTGCAGCTCAGTCCTTAGAGTAAATGTATAATGGGCTGTGGGGTGGTGCAGTGAATAAGGAGACTGTGCCTTAACCAGAAAAGGATAGTATGATCTATCTATCTTTCTGGATGAATAAAGGACTCACTCATGGGTTCAGGGGTTGATTTAGTAAACCATCCAGAGCTCATCAGTCACCCTGCAGGATGGCTCGGCTTTATTTTCCTCTGCTCATGGGTCAAACAGTGACGCACGCCTTGACTCTTACTGGCAACACACACTCTTCCAGTCAGATGGGGCTTAACGGGGGGGCTGGAGGGAGGAGATTTGCAGTTGTGGAGTCAGATTAAACTTAATATATATTCACTCCCTGACCAGTTTCCATGGTGACACAGTCATCATGCCTTTTACTTACCACCCTCCTCAGGCAAATAAGTCTAGCCTGCAGTAGTTGGTAATGTTAGCAAGATCTCTGCACTGCCAAATAATGTTTGCTGATTTGCCCGAGGCCAGATTTGTCTGGGCAATATGGAAAACACAGAGGTGAGCTGGAAATAGAGTCCCTCTTGACCTGACTAATTGAGCAGTTTGTTTTACCCATGATTCAGTCGAGTTCTCAGATTTGAGAAATGTAAAGCGGGGAGGGGACTTAATAAGTGCTAAGCAATTTTTTAATCTTATTTAAGGTTTCATTTAATTCTTTTTTAAGACTGAGGCCCAAAGAGGTTAAACTATCCAGTGATTCATAAAAATTCATGCAAAAGCAAAGGTTAGAGAAAACAAATACACTTGTGCAGCAGAACCTTTTGTTTTCTGTTATATTCTCTTCTTAGCTTTTCCCCCATTATTAATCTCATGACCCCTCAGATTTATCTTGTGACCTTATCTACAACAGTAAACAATTCTCCGCAGAATAAGTACACTTTAGGTATATTTTGCTGATAAGGCTTTTATAAGTTGGACTTTGAATGCACCACTTTCACTTATAACAGTATTTTACATTGTGGTATTGGCACATTTACTTGAGTAAAGGATATGAGTACCAATAATAACGGGAGAGTTTTTTATCCCAAGCATTGTTGCAAGCTCCCCCTTCACACAAACACTACACACTCACGATCCACCCCTCCAGTACCTTCACCCTGACCTCTGAAATCTCAAGCCCTCGATCTTCTCATTCAAAGGGAGGGGAGGGAGGGCAGACATGGAACCCAACAGATGACCTGTTTATTTTGTTAGCTGTGTTTGCTGGTGTGAGGATGGTTTCCAGGATGTGTGTGTTTCTGTGTGGGCGTGATCTTGTCCTGTCACAGGCCTCAGCTATCTATCCACATAATCTGTGGACGCTGAATTGAGGATTACAGGGGATTTGTTCACAGCAGAGTGAGCCTCAGCTGAAGTTGTAGATTTTGTTTGTCTGCCCAGAGCCCCTCCCATAGAGAAGTAATGGCCTTTGTTATAGGAGAGGAGTGACTCTCCTTGTATGTCTTTGTAATGCAAGGCATCAGCAGCGAATCCTTCGAACCTCAAACAGCTTAAAGAGAGAGAAAAAAAAAAGTCAGATTTGACTCCTAAATTAAGTGAAGGGGGCGGGGGATTTAAAGGAAAGGCAAAGGGGGTGTTTCTTGCCCCTCTCGCCCCTTTCTTTCTCCCTGCCGGTCTCCTTGGTCACACAAATGCACACATCCTCACACACACACTGACGAAGGCTCAGTCCTGCTATGGCCACCACCACCACAGAGGAGAGCTCTCCGGTCCCGACAACCACAGCAACCCAGCAGCCTGACTTGGATACTAGCATAGAACCCGGCTCAGCAAGAAAGCCTGAGTCCAGTGAGGCCCAACTTGACAAAGAAGAAAAAGAGGATGAGGAAGAGGAGGAAGGGGGAGAAAGCTCTGTGCCGGGGCAGGAGAATGCAAAAGCGCAGAGTTTGGACCCGGAATGGGTGGAGGAGAGGTTCAGGATCGACAGGAAGAAGCTGGAGACCATGTTGTATGGTGAGTGAGCTGAGCAGTTCAATGCTCACATTGCTGTCAATACCATGCACCTGAGCTCCATGATTTTCCACCGGCACAGATGACAGTTATCAACTTAATTCTCACATTCTTCTCTATAAGCTGCTTTTTCTGAAAGTTATTCTGTTTTGGTGTTTTGGATGCTTGTCATGCACACCCCCGCCATCCCCTGTGTGCTCTTCCTATCTTATCTACCTGACCCTGGGTGTCTGTCAGGGCCTCCAGCTGGCTGTGCCCTTGTTCTCACCATCAGTATTACTGCCATCCACTAAACTCCTGTTGCTGTATCACCATGATTTATGACCTGCAATGGCTTATGCATTCAGAAGTCTGCCTCTGCAAGTTATCGCTGTTCTGGTTTTATGACAAATGCCTCCCCTGTGTTACTGGGGAAACTCCTTCTGACAGTGTGCTACTGCTCCAGATAGAGACTGATATTTGTCTGTTTGTCCTTGCGCAGACTCTTGTTGGGAAAGCTTGAGTGAATTTGTTTTAATGTGTGTGTGCAGGTGTGACTGTGCTTTTGTGACTGTCTGTTTGCGCAGCCTCAGTCAGGCAGTACATTTTGTATCTCGTCCCTCTAGGTGACAATCTGTCAGGCTGCACTTGACACTTCACTCTGATAGGCCAAGGAGTGCTTTGTTTTTTATTTTTACACATTCCTTCTTGATTTTACAGTTGTTATTTAATTTTTTAGTCAAGTGGGAGGTCTTTGCGTCAGCAAATGCCATTGATGTGATTAGCTGTCTCTAGGCTAATTTGTGGTTGCTCCCCCTAACCACCACCTTCTCTCTCCACCCCATACTGTTCTCTTCCCATTCCTCAGCTCTGGCCAGAGTAACCCATAGTGATGAGGGGGGTTGAGGGCGTTCCTAAGTCCCCCCGTACCCTGTAAATGTCACTGTGGAGCGATGGCCTTTTAAAATTGTTTATGTTCCCGGCAACCTCTTGTTCCAGTTGCTTGGCAAATTTAAAAGTTGACTTTACACACATGCTTGATATTGAATACTTGCGCTGCAAACGACGGAGCTGTGTACTGCTGACCAACACAACATGGCAAATCACACTGCGGAAGATTATAAATGTGTCTTCATTGTGTCTGTTCTTTATGTTTGCTTGCTATATGTCTTTCAGCTCCAACACTTGGAGATGGTGAAACCGGAGAGGAGTTTTTTGAGAGAGTAAGTAGAGCTCCACACCAGGAAACATGTTATTCATAAACCAGAAGATTAAACAAAAAGAGCCCTAACCCCTAACCCTCCTCAGTGAAAGCCACCGATAATCATCAGTGCAGAAAGCTCCTGGTTAAATGTAGCTTACAGATCAGTGAAAGCCTCCATTTTAACATTTGTTCCATACTCTGCATCCAATGATTGCTAGTTTTATGGAGGTGATAATTGCAGTCTTTGAAATGCAAATGAGGCTTTGGTCTGGACTGGAGTCTGGAAGTGTTGATGTGTGTGCTCCGATTGTATGCGTGGTGATTTGTGTGCGTGTGTATCTTTGCGGCATACAATGACAGCTCTGCCCTTGTTTCCCACTCTCTCCTATTGTTTGTGCTTCCACAGGTGATGAGAGAAACCGACACTCAGGTGAAGTGGCCGTCCAAGCTGAAAATTGGGGCCAAGTCAAAGAAAGGTGACAGACTCTTGATGTTTCACTACTCACCCCTTATTAGGTCTCTGCACTTTTCTCCTTCCTGTCACACGTTTTTCTATGTTCCCACAAATTGATTTATCATTGCCCATTTACTGTAGCATACTGTGTACAGCATTAAAACTAAACTCCTATTTCTAGATCCACATGTGAAGGTGGAAGGGAAGAGAGCCAATGTTTTGAAAGCCAAAAAGAAGATACTAGAAGTGCTGGAAACCAGGGTGAGGGTTATTTAATTTTCACAAATTGTCTGAACAATAATGTCAACAATGTACAGATGAAGACATGCTCTTACATGATTTATACTTTGCTACTGCTTCCCTTTAACCAAGTATTGAAAAGTAATCTGCACTAAAAAATAAACCCAAACACTGTTTATATGAAATCCAGGTGAACAAGGTGACTCTAAAGATGGACGTGGCCTACACAGAGCACTCCCACGTGATTGGGAAAGGCGGTGGAAACATCAAAAAGGTGATGGAGGTCACATCTTGTCACATCCATTTTCCCGACTCCAACCGCCACAGTGCTACCGGAGAGAAAAGCAACCAGGTAACAATAACTAAGGCAGTGAGCCACTAAACAGTTAGACTGACAATTAAAGAGGTGGTATTATTCTTTTTGGCTTTTCCCCTCTCCTTTAGTGAGTCATATAATTTTTGTGCATGTACTAGGTTTGCAAAGTGAAAAAGCCCATCTCCCACAGAAAACACTGCTCTGAACTGCCTGAAAACAGCTCATTTATTGTCCAGCCTTTTCCCTTAGATCCCTGTGACTTCACAGCAAAATGTGCGTCATAATGCTCGCCAACTGGCTAGTACACACCCTCAAAAACACCGGTGGAAAAACTCTCTGAGCTGTAGCACAAGACAAGACGTCCACCAGCTGCCTCTCCTCTCCCTTCCAAACACTAGCTACTGACCAGGCAGTCAACGGACATAAAGTTGTTACTGTGATGTAGAAACAGAGCTCAGTCAACCCCTAAATAGGGTTTTGAAAATGAGCATAATATGACCTCTTTAAGGAACTGAAAACAACCTTAATTAAAAAGCCATTTGTTTTCTCATTTTACCAGGTCTCCATCGCTGGGCCCATAGAAGGAGTGGAGGAAGCCAGGAGGAGGATAAGAGTGAGTGGTCATGTATAATCTGAGCAGAAACTACCCAGGATAGATTTGTATTTGACTCAAAATCCAACTTCTTCACTCCCGTCAAGACACAGCGCTCAAAAGAATGATTAATAGAATGGCCTACACAAAGAAGAGAGGTATATTTGTCAAAAAGCCGCTGTCTCACATCTCTTCATTACCCCCTCCCCTGTGTGACTCCTCTCCATCACACTCTTTCCCTTGTTTCCCATTCAATCTTCTTTGTCCTAGGACTTGCAGCCATTGTCCTTGAGCTTTAACCTCCCAGTCAGCCTGATGCCCCAGGGTCTGCCAGATGCAGGCTCCCCACTCATTCAACAGGTAGTGCAGACTTTGGGGGTCAGTGTGAGCTTCAGGGCCGTGCCACCCCATCCTCAGGCACAACCCACCTTCTATGAAAGCTGCTGCACCGTCTGGGGCCTGCAGGGCAATGCAGCTGCTGTCAAGGTTAGTGTAAAACACAGAGGACTTTGATCCAGTTTACACTCATTAGAATAGGGTCTAATCAATGTGTATCATATAGTTTCATGTAATGTATGTATACATTGTCATCTGGCAGAAGGCGACCTGCATCCTGATAGACCTGCTGCTGGGGTCAGAGGTCACATGTGGTGTAGTGAGCAGCCAGCTGGATGTCACCTCCCAGCAGCATCTCTTTCTGCTGGGGCAGAATGGAGCTCACTTCCTGAGCGTCATGCACCAGACCCAGACCCAGATCATTCTACCAGACCTTAGTGCTCCTCAGAGCCCTCCCTCGCTGCTCATCCAGGGCAGCCCTGACGGAGTGTGTCTGGCTCGGCAGCAGCTCATGGTACAGCGGGGTGTTTGGTTTTTGTTTAGGTAGAATTATGCTGAAGAACAATTCCGAGAGGTTGCAAGTGCATTATCTGTTTATCTGTGTATGTGTCTTTGTGTGCACATCTAGGACTGTCTGCCTGTGTGTTTGATGTTTGACATGCGTGAAGATGGGGAGGCAGATCCTTGTAAGCTGGCTCAGATGATGCAAAACCTGGGAGTCTTCATTAGTGTCAAGCCCAAAGTAAAACAGACCAGCAAGGTACAACTTTAGCTGCTTTGTTATTGTTAGAATCACCCCATCTAAAATAAATGGTAATTTTGTTGTTTTATTTGCTACCTCTCCCTATTTTTACATTCCCTGTTAATCTAGGACTATATTGTGATTGCTTATTTCATACGCACTGGATTAAATAATAAATGTTTATTGAAATATTTGTTGAATGTTCACTTTCATTTTGGATTAAACATTACTCTGTCTTGCTGTCTCATGTGCTGTGGTGGTTTAAATACTGACGTAAAACTCTGTATTGGTGTATATTTATCAGTCAGTAGTGGTGAAAGGTCTGGAAAGGAACATCTCCTGTCTGTATGAGGCCCGCCGTCTGCTCCTCGGTTTGGATTCTAGTGAGACTGCCAAGGTAACCGAGATGACCCCTGACCCCATGTTAACCGGCAGCGGAATGACCAGCTATTGGCTCAACATGTTGCTGCAGCAGCTTCGTCTCTCTGAGCAAGGTGAGCATGCACATATACAGTATGTGTATACATTTGTATGAAAACACACCTAAACATATGAAAAAATGTTTCCCAAAGCTGTGGCATCTCTGCTGCACCAGGGTTTTTTTACAGAATCATAAAATCACAGAAGCCACCTTCAGGTGCATGACTCAGAACTCATCAGCACTCTGGCTGGAGTTACACACATATGTGTGTAGGTGTGTATCTATCCAAATGTCATGGAAACTGGAAAGCAACCTATTATTCAGATTTTAATTTTTTTCCACAAGCAAAAACTAGTGGTGGAGAGCAACAAAGGACATTTAATCAAGTACTTCATTTACGTAGAACATCTGAGTACTTTTTCTTCACAGGCAAAACATATTCAATCAGAATAAATGTATGTTCACATAAGAAGTTGACAAATAAAGACAAAGAGAATGCAAACACCTTAAAGCACAGTCACGTGAATACACATGGGGGGGTATGTAACACTAAGCGCAACAGTAACTCTTCTCTAAGTAAAGGGTCATCATTTTATCATGATACGGTTGATGGCTTTACATTTATGTTACTTTCATTAAGTAATTTGATTTCTCTTTTCACATACAGTATCTAATGGGGGCAGCAGTACATAATCACATATTGTAAATTCTGTAATCATCCCTGTGTTGTGTACAGTCTCCTTAACGATATGACAAGTTATAAGTTATAACAGCACACATACACATACACACAACATATGCAAAACAAATGGGTGGATGGAAACATGTGTCTTTGTTTCATTTGGTGTTTTTTATGTTTACCTGCTTTGTTTGGTAGCACAACTTAATGTGATCTTTTACTCATCTTTCATGTCCCCTCTTGTAAAGGCTCTGTGCCTGCTCCCACTCCAGATGTGCTGACTGGTCCTAAGTACCGCCCCTCACCTCCACCAGGCTTCACCCCTCCTGCTGATGAGGGGAGGATGGGACTGAAGGGAACAGATAGCCGACCACTGGAGAAGGTTTGTCCCTGATTGTAGTCAAACTGCTCTCAGTAGATAGATAAACATCAATAAAAAACAAAACAACACATTACATTTTTTCCTCTTCAGATCCTAGAAAATGAGGACCTGTCTGGCCAATCAGAGGATGAGAGCTCTCAGGCCATGGTGATGTTATCATCTGAAGGGTGTCATTCAGTTAGCAGCATCAGCAGCGTGGGATCAATGGGTCGGAGGGGGAGTCTCCAGGGTCCTGACACTACCAAGGTTTTAGTCCAGGGCAGACGGCATTCAACGGGGCAGGCGTTAACATACAGGTGACCATTCACAGATTCTTACACTTGTTTTTGTCACTTGTGAGGACACTCCATTAATGCTCTGATTACTCTGATACAAGCACATCCACACAATTAAACAGGTAGGCCTACTCAGTGGCAAGCTGGCCCTGAAATGATAACAGCCTTTAAAACAGCAGCACGCCAGCCACACCAAATCCACCGAAAAAGCACTTGTAAAGTTACTCACCCATTTGAAAGGCATCCATTGAGCTTGTATTGAGCGAGATCTTTGACAGTGTCCTCAGTAATCCAAAACAATCTTATTTGGGAGCTTTGGGACCCGCTCTTCTGTTCTTTTATCTTCTGTCTCTTCTTGAAACAACTTTTACGTGTGAATAGCATGACTGCTAGCTTGCACGTGTGCTCTGCTAGTCTACTTGTCAGATTTTGCGTTTCACCCGGTTTCTGGAGTCTTGTCACATGATTAAATAGAAACTTAAGATTGGGCATTAATTTTACCCAGCAATCATCACTGCATTTGTCAGCTATGTGACATGTATACTAAAGAAAATAAGATTATATTCATTCTGTTGAATCTGTGGAATCATTTTTTCATAATTCAATGTATACCTTATAGCCTACTGCTTGCTACAGACGTCTGGGCAAAAGTCTGTGTTGTCAGACCCCACGGCAAAGGGGGAAATGCACATTTGAGTGTATATATAGCACTTAATCGGTATGAAAGCAATAGGTTGAGTTGAAATGTGTGTTTGCTAAAGATAGATGAAAGTCATTGCATTTTTCCCATGTAAATGACAATGAACAGCCCATAACCAGTGGGATTGCTTCTATTAAGGGCCCTCAATACAGTGCGGGCCCCAGTGCAGCAGTACTGTCTGCACCTCTCTTATACCTACAACAAAAAGTAAGACATAACCTAAAAATAAATGGTTGCCCTTGTGGGGACCAAGGTTTTGTGAGTCCTCACAATGACTATGAACATACCTACAGCATGATTAATATGCACATAAAGCAGATCTGTTGAGAATCTACACATCTTGCTGAAAACACTGAAAACCAAGTTAGAGAAAGCACAGCTTGTTGACCTAGTTGAGTCCTTTGTGGCTCTCTTGAAAACCACTTTATAATACTGTGCAGTTGAAACGGAGCAGTTCTCTCATATCAACACATCCCATAATTGTATAGCATTAACATACTATCTCTGAAATCCCCCTTAGTGTTACTACTGTTGCTTTAGGGAAAGAAAGACTTGACAAGCTCTCAAAAGCTGCACATAGCCATCCCAGTTCAACCTAACCTTGTCTTTCCATCTGTGTCTGTGTGTCTCCTGAATGTGCCAGATTACTGAATGCAGACATTGAGGGAGGGAGGAGTGAGCGGAGGAACAGCTGAGGAGAGACATGACGGCTGGCTCAGGATGTTCGCACTGACTCATCCAAGGCTGAGGTTAGTGAAAACAGGAATTACAGGTCTCTTTGTTCACCCGTTTCTTCATAAGATGATGCACTGCATCTATAGACAACATTATTTTGGCTAAATCTCAGTGGGAAAGACAATCAAGTGTAAACCCCGAAATACTTAATGCTTAAGGTATTGAAGTGTTTTGTAGAGGGTGTATGAGATGAAGTTATAGTTATGTAACCTTTTGAGTTGCACATCACTGACCCGGTGCAATTTGATTTTGAGAATCAACTTTTGTGTTTGTTTGCTTTCCTTATTTGTCATCTCTCACTGCCTACCACACAGCACAGGTTAGGTTCTCCCTGCCTGTCCTCAGTAACCAGAGAAAAAATAATTCAATTTCATGCATTATTTACCGACTCTATTTCTTGTTTGTGCTTTGTAGGATATGACTATGAGAAGAAGAAACTGCAGGCTACCAGAGGTTAGTGCTCCTAAATGTTAATATTTCTTCCTGTCTGTGGTTTCAGGAGCTCTGCACAGGCTTCTACAGCAACAATTACGGCACTGCTAAGCAAGCATTTTTTTTGATCTATAGTGCTGTATACTGCAGATAATTAAACTGAAAACAAATTTGCATGTGTATTTGGTCCAAAATACTTACTGTATATGTTTTGCCCATCAACTAGCACCTACAGTATATACAACCAATCTGTTGTTTTTGGAGCTGAACAGGGAGCAGACTAGAAAATTAACTCCGCTCTTCAAACACTAAATCTTACTCTAAAATTATTGAATTTACTGTAAAAGTGCACAAGTTTTAGTCATACTGTTCTTAAAACATGACTTAATGTCATATGATTATCCGGGATGAAAAACCTTTTTAGATTTTCAAGCACGTTATGGAGGCAACACATTAATATCCTGAGCAGAGGCAGGGGCTTGATAGAGGGGGCCCATTTCAGTGCTCATAGCCAAGACAGCTGATGAAGAGGACCTGTTTATGGGCTGCTGTGCCAAAGTTATAATAGAGTAGCAGTGGCTCTCCTACTTAATTCACACAGGGCAGATACACAATGCAGACAACATGCATCGAGACACAGTTGTATGCGCACTCTTATACCCACATGCATAGACACACGCGCGCGCACACACACACACACACACACACAAGAAACACTACCTCATCCATCATGCAGAATGAGAGGTACTGGGAAGATCTGTGGCCAAATGGTTCTAAATTCCTCAGTGTTGCTTTATGGGATTATGAATTAGCAGTTTGAATGGGCCATCTGCCTCATAGTCATTAAGACACACATATGCCAGTATGTGAATGGGACATTTACTCACACAAACACACACGTAAACAAATGACACCCACCAGTTATAACCTATTATCACACCTTAGAGTGCTGTTACAGTTTTATCACACTTTCACACATGGATCCTGTCCCAGTGCCAAAAAAGGCCCAGGGTCACTTGTTTGTCATTTGAATGTGTGTATCTGTCAGTCTCAGCAATTAGATTTTATTAACTATGCCACATCCTGGCAAGGAGACGCACTGTTGTTGATCATATTAACATCTGAACCCAGCTTGTTCAATTCGAATATAGAGGAGACGTGGAAAACCTGCAA